AGATTCGAGAAGAAGTATCCGGCGGGAATGACAGTGAAGCGAATTTAAAATTTGGAAGAAGGCCGAAGTGCGTGGTCAAGAGGAATGAGTACTGTGAAGTTAAAGAGGAACAAAAATAATGTTTATTGATAACCATCGCTAACCTAGAGAGGTCTGGAGAAACCGAGGAAGAAGATGAGGAACTGGTCGAGCTTCGAAGGAGAACTGTTGGATTGAGACTTGGCTTGGAAAAGAGGAATTGGCCAATGGGGTCCACTGGGGAAAGCACCGATCGGGAACAACCCCCCTATGATGACTCCAACTAAGGAACAATGGACGAGGCTATCCAAGGAAGCAATTTCATAACGCAGAACCAGGCAAGAATGTTGAACCATCAGTAGGGAAGAACATTCTTCCATCGCTCAAGCCTACTGGGAAAATCGGGTTATCACTCAATCACGTGACCACAAACATTGGACCAAGTGCCAGAGAGAAATATGAGCGTGATATTTTAGATCAGTGTGACGCACTTGCAATAGACAAGATGAAGGATCAATGCAAGATAGAGAAGATTAGCTATGACAATTGAGGTTTGGTGATTAAGCATCTGGTGATGCATCGAATTATCAAGGCATATGATCTAGTTAACGTTCCCTTGCCTGATAAACCGAGAGGCTTTGAGCGTGTTGCGAAAAGGAACAACACTTTGAAAGGTGACGTTGAGGATACCAAGGCTTCATCACCGAAGTAATCCAAGGATGAAAATGTGTGAAGAGTGAGTACCAAGGGTTTATCTGTGAAGCTACATAAGTAACCGCACATAGACGTGACAATGGAGGTAAGAATAAGCTACTGGACCACCGACTATGGATTTCGACGATTGCTCTGATATTGCGAGGTGAACTCGAATGGGGGAAGAAGTTTCGTTCTTACAGGGTCGATGAGAACAAAAGAGGTAATTTGGAGCTGTGTAAACCAAAGAAGTGTGTATACGCTTTGATATCGTCGTGCTGTGGGCAAGTGTACATAGGGATCACGGAGAGAGATCTTCGGACTCTGTGGCGGGAGCATGTCGGATGTTGCGCGACTAGAGATTGTAAACGAAAGCGGAATTTGTACAACTTGTTGGCGAAGATTGGGTGTTACAAGTACGTGGAAATTCCAATCTACTTTGGGCACTCACGCGAGGAACTTGAGGTGGCAAAGTCCACTTTGATCTGGACTCGGTCCCTATCACTGAACGCAAAGGTTAAGAAAAGAAAAACTCGTAGGCGGAAGAGACAGGAAAAAAACAAGAGGAACAGACGAAAGGTTGTATGGAAGAATGAGGATAATTGTGCAAAACTTTTCGTCGGGATCTTGAAAATTATAAAAGAAAAAAATAGCGAGGGAACTATTCGGATTATTTCTTTTTTGAGCAACCTATCAAAGGGAGAGACGGTTAACGGAGACCTCAATTTTCAGACCACCTGTCAGACCATTTATAGCCAAACGATCAAAACCCAAAGGTCGTTTTAACCAAACTTGCCACCAATTCATAGAGTGGAGATCATACTAACTACTTACAAAAAAAAAAATGAAAAAAAAACTTAAAAAAACCTATCAAACAGCAAGGAAAAAATATGTTTTCATGCGATTTTAGTTTTCAGGATTTTCATGATTTTTCAGGGCTTAGCCAAAACAATCAACTGCAGGACCCCAACAAACACCAAACTTGGCACACACAAACCTTGACCAAAAATAAATCAGCACAAAAGAGAAAAAACTGAAAAAAATGATCTCCAATGCATTTTTAAGGGTTAAAGGGGTTAACCAGGGCTGAAAAGTGGGGGTCCCTGTTAACTGCTTATGATCAAAGGAGGATCGGAAGAGAGAGATGATAATGATCAAGAGTGGGGAAGGAGTGATGCGGGCTGACGGATGGAAACTGGTGAAACGTTTGCTATGGGAAACCAGAGTGAAGGTGGGAAGGCGGACGCTCCCCCTGCGAAAGTGTAAGAAGATCTTATAGCAGAGGGAAACGATAGTACTAAGTGGAGTTGTGGGGGCTTCCCCGACGAGTCTGAAGTTGAAAGAAGAAATTATCTGAATATTTAAGAAAAAAAAAAAAAATCCGGATTGTGCAAGAAAAATTGGGGGACCTAGTGCGGCACTAAAGTGCGACGAAGCTCTTTTCAACGTAGAGATACAGGAGAAGAGCCAAACACATGATATCATATGTAATCAAGAAGAGGTTTGGAATCAACGTTAGATGGATGTTAATTGTGAAAATCGGATTTGATGAGCGTATTAAGAAGGGAGAGATAACAAGATTGGTTAGGCGGAAGATCGGGGAATTTTTACTCGACCGCTCGACTAAGGATATGCTACGTAAACACACCCAAGTCGTTTGGACTAGAAATCCGAACATCGGGGAGATAATTCATAATCATCGCCACTTTGCGGCTGATGGCGTCACCAATGCAACTACGCCGGTATTGCCCTCCCGAAGGTGGATGGGCACGTACATTTCCGACTCAGCCAGTGGAGTAGATGCCTGATTTTAGCGAAAAACGCGAAGAACGTATCTGCAGAAGCGAGAAAGAACATTGGTCGTGGGTTGATGATGGAAATAGAAGGGGTTCTGAAAAGTGTGGATTGCTTAGGAGATCGGATCGACAATGTGGAGGTGCGAGAAGATGAGTTGGATGCACGTGTGGAGGAATCGAGGTCGATTGACGACACTGGGAAACAACAGATCATGAGCATAAAACAGGAACTGGACGGTCTCATCCGCTGCCCTCTCGGCTGCAACCCAGGAGAGACAATCGTCCTCTGCCCGAGTGTCTATGAGAGAGGAATGTGAACCATTTTCATCATGAATGAAGGGTATGAAAGATGCAAGAAGTCGGAGGAGATGGTGTTAGAAGAGACACGCACAACCTATGTGGATGGAGGTTTTCAAACTTTAGGCAAGTGGAGAAAAGAAAGAAAGTTGGGAAGGGTATATGCCTTACCCAAGCATAAGGACACAAAAAAATATACTAGTTGTAAGGACACAGAAAAGTATACTAGTTGTAAGAAAGTTGTATGGAAACTGGTGGCGGAATTGCTGACCAATGATGAGGTATACTAGTTGTATAGACCAGGGTCAGGCCCACAGTGTACCGGGTGGCTTACGGGCCTGGACCGAGAACGAACTGGCAATATGTGCTTTCGCCTTTTACTTTCAGTTGAGTTTGTGGCATAGGTGAATATTGAGTTTTGACAGAGATTAGACTGGTACTATGTATCGCTTTTCTGAATAGGCCAGGCTTCAGCTCAGGATAAAATCGATAGTCCTTTTAGATGTCTTTTCTAATACTGCGCGGTAAGTAGGATAGAGATTCGACTTTGAACCAATGACGTACTGGACCAGTTTGTAGGTTGTAAGCCGACGAAGGTGGGAGACCGCGAAATAAACAACACCGAAAGTGACGTTAACTACTGGGATAAAAGTCTGGCTATCGTCGGATCCAACCTCCTCGTTTCCCCACCCTCTTGGGGGGAACGCGATACGTATGGGTGTTATGGTTTGTAAGGTGTATCGCGTTGACAAATTATAAGTGCTATGACACTACCTTCTTAACCCGAAAAAAAACGTACATACCTTATATACGAATACAACGTACGGGGCACGTTGTATTCGAATACAACGTATGTACGTTATAGAACGAGTTTTAGGGTATAACTTTTCAGAAGCCTGTAGTACCGCCATTGTTTTTATTTTTATCTCAAATTTGGTTGGGAATTTCGCCAAGACCCTCAGACAAAAGTTGTTTGCATTGGAATGTTGTGCAACGTACTTTTTTTTCGGATTTTTTACTGAATTGTTTTTAAATCGAAATTCTGAAAAAATCAGTAAAAAACATTTTTATCCTCGTTTTTATTTTTTTCTCGATTTTTTTCGTGAATTTCGATAAGACCCTCAGGCAAACGTTGTTTGTATTGCATTGTTGTATAACATTTTATTTTTTTTCGATTTTTGTTAATTATTTTTGAAAAATCAAAGTTCCAAAAATTCGAACACAACATACGTATGTTGTATTCGAATACAACGTACGTACGTTATATTCGAACGTACGTTCTATTCGGGGAAAAACACGCGATTTCTGAAAAACCGATTTCCAGAGGTAATTCGAATAGAACGTACGTACGTTTTTTTGGGGTTAAAAAGGTAGTGACAGTTGTTACCAAGTGCGCAATTTGCGCGCCAGTGTGAAGCAGTTCAACTTGCTTTTCTCCTGTCAGGCGGGTGTGCAAATTTGCAATCCCTCCCTGTTTGGGCCTTGGCCTTTTGCAATCGGGCCTAGGAAAAGTTGGCAAGTACTGAGGTGTTTTGCAAAGTTGAACGGTACCTGGTAGGGGTATATTGCAAAGATGAGGGCCCAAGTGACGCCAGGGATATTTCACAAATATTTCTGTGTCAGATGGGCATTCCGGTTTCCAGGGGCATTTTGGCATAGATCCCAATTTATGGGGGTATTTTGCAATGGGGGTATTTTTGCAGAGATAATTTGCAAAATACCCCCATACATTGAGATCTGTGCCAAAAGGCACCTGAAAGATGTGGGTAGAGCAGAATGCCCTTTTGGCCCAAATTGTTTGTGCTGTGAGCTTGTCAGGTTGCTGCGTAAATTTGCAATCTGGACCTCACCGTTTGGGCGGGGCCACTTTGCAATTGGGCCTTGGAAAAGTTGGCAAGTACGAGGGCATTTTGAATAGTTGGACCGTACCCGGTAGGGCTATATTGCAACGACCGGGAGTCGAATTGAGGCCAGGGGTATTTCACAAAAGATTTTGTTTGTGATAGGGGCATTCCCATCTACTGACATCTCTTAGGGGCATTTTGGCACATATCTCAACTTACGGGGATATTTTGCAAATTACCATAGAGTATTATAAAACTACTATATGCATTACCATATCATTATTTCCGCTTAATGGCAGGCGGAGGGGTGGGTGCTGAGATTCGGTAGATCCTGTGCGGGGGTAGGGAGCGAGGTTCTGTAGATGGTGTGCAGGTGCAACGCGGTAGCGGGCTGGCGATGGCTGGGACAGCGTCTACGGGTTATCTGCTAGACCCGGCACTCCACCTGTCACCTGGAGGGGGGGATAAGAATAAATTGGGGGTTCGGGGAGGGGGAGGAGGGGGTCGTGACGAGCCCCCACGTGGCTCATCAAGGCTTGCGGTGGGCTCGTGCACTCCATCTGCTCCTCGCCCCAAGTGCTCCCCGTTGGTACTTTCGTGGAGACGTACGAGCTATGGCCGAAGCTCTTGGGGGAGACCTATCAGAGGGGAGGAAGTAGTAGACTCATTTTTATTCAGACGAGGAGGAGAGAGAGAAAGGGAAGCAGCTGAAGGAAGAGGAGGAGGAGGAGGAGGAGGAGGAGGTGGAGATGGTTGTGGGTATCGAGGAGGAATAGCTGTTGCAGGAGAAAGAAGGGGGGGAGGGTGTGATAGAAGCGGAGGACGGGGGAGATGGGGAGGGGAATATGGGAGAGGATTACGGCAGAGGTGGAGGGGAAAGAAGCATGCGGGAGGGATGGCGGGTAGTGAGAGAGGGGAGGTGGTTTCTTGGGAGAAGGAGGAGGGCGAGTCCGAGGAGAATGGGGAGATGAAGGAGGTGGAGGAGATGGAGGAGAAGAGGGAGGAGGTGGTGGAGGCGGCGGAGGCGGAGGAGGAGACGGAGGAGAGAGAGAGGTCCTCGTCCGCCTTATCGCCTACAAGACGGCTGATTCTTCTCAGACATGCTAAGAGTTCGTGGGATGACCCTTCAATCAAGGATCACGAAAGGGCTCTAAGTTCCCGCGGGCGCGCAGCGGCCGCCAGCGTGGCAATCAAGCTTGCCACGTGGCGGGATCTCGGATGGCTTCCTCAACTTATCCTCTGCAGCGACTCTCGTCGAACGCGGGAAACCCTAGACGTGATGATGAATACGGTGGAGGCTTTTCGGCATGCAGCGGTGAAGTTTCTTGGAAGTTACTATACCATCGGTGCGATGGATGGGCAGTGTGCAGAGCACCTGGTCGAGACTGTATCACAGAACGCGCGAGATGAGGACACGTGTGTGATGTGTATGGGGCATAACAGGGGATGGGAGGAGGCGGCATCGGATTTCGTGGGAACGAATGTAGAGTTGAAGACGGCAAATGCCGCGCTCTTGAGCGTACAAGGGGGTGAAACTTGGCGGGAAACTTTCGAATTGGCGGGATTTGGTGGGTGGAAGTTGGAAGCTATCGTATTTCCTGATCAACTCCGGCATAATCATCACCCACCTCCTCCTCCTGCGCCTCCTCAACGTTCTCATCAACACTAGTCATTGTTTTACGACGATGTAAATTAGAAAAATAATATAATATTATTAATAAATATAATATGAACACAATGTTTGTTTACGACGATGTGTCGTCGGAGCTCTTGACCTCCTTCATCATC